CTAGTTGGTTTTTGCTCAGTTTTGTATTGTTAATTTTAAGTGATGTAATACGAAACCGGAGGCCTCGCAACTTTCCACCAGGACCCTGGGCTGTGCCTCTGCTAGGAAATGTCTTCACTGGAGTAGACTACAAAACAATGCATGAGGTGAGGAGGAGAAGATCCTTACAGTGCAATTTAGTTTACATACAGTAGGCTGGCAAATATAATGTGCACGATGAATAACAACAGATAATAACAAGACTTCAACTTTAACCTCCTAGGACCTGGCATCCATATATGTGGACTTCACATTTTGGGTTATTTAGACCAAAATACTCAATTTTGCTCTCCAAGGGCCTGAGATCCACTTACAAGGACATTATACTGCTACTGTTCTATCGAAATTTTAAACAAATATCCTTATATGTGGCTCTCATTTTTCTTAGAAACAAAAATCAGGTAAAAAAAAAAAATCTGGTAATTCTTTGTTTTTACATTCATCTGGTCCCATTCAGCCCAAATATCAAAGAGAAATTAAAAATGCATGCCGTGGAAGAGTTCGGGTCTTCTAAAGGAATACCAAATGTGAAACATTTCTCTTGATTTATTTCTAAATGCAGCTGGCTCAGAAGTACGGCCCCGTGTTCAGTTTGAGGAGGGGCAGTGAGAGGATGGTGTTTGTTGCAGGATATAAAATGGTCAAAGAGGCTCTTGTCAGCCACCTGGACAGCTTTGTTGATCGACCAATCGTCCCTCTTTTCCATGTTATATTCAAGGGCATAGGTGAGTAGTTAAAACACGTGCACGAAAGCATGTGCTATCACATATATTTTTGGGTGTACCAACCTCCTTCCCCAAGTCTTAAACTGTATTAAATTTTTGCCTTTTGGAAATGACAAGCACCAATATATCATTGTCATAGCATTAAATGAGAAGTCCTGTGGTGAAATGCAACTAGTAAGTCAAATTTTACCTACTTTCTAGAAACTTTAGGTACATATTTTAATGTGTTCTCCATTAGACACATTACACACAGCAAGAACACCTTGGGTTGATTCACTGCAGTGAATTTGGTAGTTGATGATTTTCTTTGTGAAGTGTGCATGTTCTCCCTGTATCTGCATGGGCTTTATTAGCTCCCATGTTTCCTCTCACAGTCCAAAAACATTTTACCCTGTGCCCTACAAGATGTACATTAATGCAGAGACTTCCTTGTTATTAATTCAATATAATATTCTAATAGGTATAGCGCTGAGCAACGGTTACCTGTGGAAGAAGCAGAGGAAGTTTGCCAACACTCACCTGCGTTACTTTGGAGAAGGCCAAAAGTCACTGGAGAAGTGCATTGAAGTGGAGTGCAGTTTCCTTTGTGAAGCTTTCAAGGAGGAGCAAGGCAAGTAGGCTGCAGGAATTCACATGACTCAAGTGATTGCTCTGCACTGAAATCATTTTTGTAGCAGGATTTCTCTTGACTTGAGTATAATTTGACATCTTCACAGGTAGACCATTCAACCCCCACTACATCGTAACAAATGCAGTGGGTAACATCATCTCCTCTGTGGTCTTCGGACATCGCTTTGAATACACTGATCCAAGCTTTCGCAAAATTCTGGAGCTGGACAATGATGCCGTTGTGCTTGCTGGTTCAGCTCAGACGCAGGTACTCGTTGTTTAAACTACCATGTGATGATCATTTGCGATGTTGTTGGTCTTTTACTAAGAGTTTACCATCCTCACCAGCTGTATGATGCCTTTCCTGGCTTGATGAAGTACCTGCCAGGACCTCACCAGACTGTCCATGCCAACTACAGGGAGATTGTGGCTTTCTTGAACAGAGAAATTGAAAAGCACCAGGAAGAGTGGAACCCAGATGACCCTCGTGATTTCATTGATGCATATCTGTCAGAGATGGAGAAGGTAACACAAAAACATTTCTAGTGAAGCATATGAATACTATTCTGTTAGATTTTAAAAAATTAATTGAAACAATAAGCATGTGTTCATGTAAACCATGACAATTGTCTATACTGGCCACTAATAGGTCACATTTGTAATGTGCCAGAACTGTGTTTAGATTCAAAAGAAGTCCTTCAAAAGTTTCTGAGACTTCAGCCACCCAAATGAATCAGTTAATCAAAAATCACAATCCTTATGATAATGAGATTAACTGGTAATAAAGTAAATTGCCTAAATGAACCGAGTACTGTCGATAATGTCTGTATTTTTCTGTTACATTAGAAAAAAGAGGATCCTCATGCTGGCTTTAATATTGAAACGCTTCTGGTTTGTACCCTTGATCTGATTGAGGCTGGGACAGAGACAGCTTCCACCACTCTACGCTGGGCTCTAGTATTTATGATGAACTACCCAGAAATACAGGGTTGGTAACTTATTACTCTATCCCCCTTTCTCACATCCCAGATTGCATATCTTCAATCCCTGCTTTCAACTCTCCTTTATCATCGCATGAAGAAAAAGTGAAGGTCAAAAAGCTTGAGAATCTTAAACAGCTGAAAGCAAATAAAGGATGGTTTCCTCCTCCAAGAAGAATTTGTGGGTTAAATTCTAGGTGGGCCACTTTCATAATGGATACGCCTTTGCATCCTTGACTGTAACTCCAAAGGAGAGAACTCCCTTTTTTCTGTCTGTCAAATGCATTTTAAGAATTGTAAACCATTGGTGTATTGTCATGAGATTTTAGGTCACAAGCAGGATGAGGGGGGACAGATGGGCAGGCACAAACAAGAAAAATGAGAACAGCCTGAAGAATATAGATTTTAGACCAGTCTGACTATGATGGTTATTAAGTTGTCTGTTTTAGTCGTTACTGTTTCCCCTTTCAGAAAAAGTCCAGGCAGAGCTAGACAGAGTAGTCGGACAGTCTCGCCTGCCCACCTTGGCCGACAGACCCAACCTACCCTACACTGATGCTGTTATCCACGAGACCCAGAGGTTTGGAAATATTGTTCCATTGGGATTCCCAAAAATGGCCAGTAAAGATTCTACACTGGGTGAATACTTCATTCCTAAAGTAAGGGATTATTTACCAGACTGAGCCAGAAATTAACATTCATTTCATATGTCTTTCAATTATTTATAAATAGCTAATAACAACATCTGATAACACTATTTCAGGGCACAGCTATTACCACGATACTTTCATCTGTGCTGTTTGATAAGAATGAGTGGGCGACTCCAGATGTCTTCAATCCTGAACATTTCCTGGACTCAGAGGGCAAATTTCGAAGAAGAGATGCCTTCTTGCCATTTTCAGCAGGTAATTTTATAGCGTGTAATTAGGTTAAGATTAAGAGTACATTTGATAGCAAAATGAACAGCAGGATAAATACTTCTGTTTCCCACAGGTAAACGTGTGTGTATCGGTGAGCCCCTGGCCAAAATGCAGCTCTTCCTTTTCTTTGCATCTCTGCTCCAACGCTTCACTTTGACTCCTGTTCCTGGAGAAATGCCCAGCTTGGAGGGTGTGATGGGCTTCACCTACTCTCCCGAGGAGTTCAGGATGCTGGCAGTGCCTCGCTGAGGTCATGCCATGCAAACACAAAGATGAATAAACTGAAACTCCACAAGCTTTATGGGATCACCAAATCACAGCATACAGAAAAAGCATACTAGAAACACAGAAAATATACTCTGTAAAACATTTTACGAACATTTCACATAGTAAGACACAATGTGCATGTCACAGTGCTAACTGTTGTTGTACTTTTATTTCTTGTCTTTTACTGTGAAGCACTTTGAGTTTTTTCTGTGAAAAGTGCTATATAAAACAATAAAGTTTGCTTACATAATACATAATAATGGTTAGACAACCTTGAAAAAATAATGTGCATGCATTATAGCAACTGACTGAAAATTAGGTGCCACATGATGCCATAAGCTAATAGTAACTTTATCTATAATAAGGCAAATTCTTTAAATATATGTTGTATTGAAATTAAATTAACAAAAAGAAAATTTGATGACATGTGGATAAAACTGCCCTTTTTATCTATTTTTATCTATTAGACTTTACAATTCTTTGCCAATCAAACTGTTCTGTGAACTTTGCATCTTTTTACAACTATTAGAAATGCAATTTCCTTTCATGATAAAACAAATTTCTCTGGACTGCAAAAGCTTACATGTTACCTATCAACAGATAGATAAGTGATTGTGTAATACTGAATACAAATCTAGTATAAGAATTCACAGCAGAATTAATTCTAAAAATGGCTGCCAGAATCAATTTACTGAGCAAATTTAAAATGAGCCTTATTCCTTTAAATGTAAAATTATTTTCTGTTACAAATACATCACAGCGTGTCTTTGGGTCATGACTAAATAACTCTTACAGGCTTTAGGAGAAAATAGTGACAAGACACCATAAAATGAAACACTTTAAACATACTGAAATGCTTTGAGTGCTCAGTAAGATTAGAAAGGTGTTCTATAAATGCTTTTCAATATCCAGTTAAACTTCATGCCCAAACTGCTTTGGACCTTGAGTTCCCTGTTTGCACAGTTGAACTGGGTGAGAGTTAAAGGAGTTGTTTTGCTCTGGTTGAAAAGGAAAAAATATGAGTTGGTGTGGTGAGCTTTAAAAACTTATATAAATCAGTTTCTTTCATTTCTTTCATATTGTTGAAGAGTCTTTCTTGGGCGGGCAAAGCAGCTTCCCTCTGGGTCTGTATTTCTTAGCTACATCCGACAGAAGGGTTCCTTGTGGCATACACTGTGGCTCCCTGTAAGAGGGATACAGATGCAGTGAAGGAAGAACACTTGGAGGCAGGAATTATCTTCACCTGATGTCCAATTTATTCACAAATGCTTATAACTATGGCGTTATTTTTGTGCATCTGCAAATGGCTTTTACATGCGCTCAAAATTTCTTTACTTGCACTGAGAATAATGGCACAAAAATAACGCCATATATAACAAAGCCGCTTAGACTGATGGTATGTACCACAAAAGAAAAGGAAAATGTTAAGTTGAAATATTAAATGTTTGACATTTTTATGTTTACCATTTGTACATAGTTTTAAAGTATTCTTTCTGTCCTCCCCTCCCCAGATCCTTACGATTCTGGGAGGGGGGGTGATAGTGTTTTTATCACAGGAACACCCTTGTTTGATGTTGGCAAACTTCCTCCCCTTTGTATGGCTTCACTGTGTTATCTAGGGTGAACCATCTAGGGTGTGGGGGAGACTACCCTCTTTATGACCAAGGATGTTCCTGCTGTGCTTTTATGTTATATAACCCTTTGATCACACAATAAACAATAGTTTACAACACATACCTTCCCCATTGTCTATCCTGTAAAATAGTCAGATTCTATTCATATTAATGTACAGAATTCACCTGCTTGCTGCTACTACTGC